TCTCCTATCCACTGGGGGATTTGCCTTATCAGCCCAGCATCTACAGAGTATCCCCTTTAATCTGCTGGCCCCTTCAGGATCAACAGCACTCAAAAATGAGCCCAAAAGAAGAAGTTATAGTTAGAGGTTAGGAGAGCTCCCTTTCCTCTGCTCTAAGCGCGGTGACGTTACCACAGGAAGTCCACTCTTGATTATTCTATTGTATATTTTTTTTTGTTCCAATGTACAACCTCATTTCTAAGTTGCTTCTTATTTCATTTATCTTACCTCTTGCTTTGGCTAAGTCTTTCCTATTACTCCTTTAGTTATCACTGACTCCTCCCATGTACATACATACATAAATACATACATACATACATACATACTTACATACATACATAGATACACACACACACACATACACACACACACACACACATAGGGAGAGAGAGAGACAACTGTACATACATATCTTGTTCCAAATTTTTTTCCCATACTTTCCCTTTTAAGGTGTATGCCAATAGCTCACAACTAAAGCAAGGAACAGTACTTTTTGTGCTTTACAAAAGGTATTCAATATGTTTTCATGGCTTATAATTCAAAGTGACACTTTATTCTCATATATTTCATAGATCTTTTCCTATTTTTTAAATATATACATTTTGGCTTCTGCTCTTGCTTTCTCTCTGAACGATCCCCCCTAGTCTATGCTTTTTGATCTACGGTAGACACTTTTACAGCTAATTCTCATAATGTGCCTAAATGTTAAATGAACACTTGCTAATTTTTATCAAATCGTTTCCAGCCAATTTTGATTTCTTTTCTTCTTGTGTCCTTTCATTATGTTCCTCTTTTTTATTGCAATCTTGTAAATTTGTTTAATTTGCATTGCCTACTTCCTGAATCATTGTACTTAAAAACTAGTTTTATGTAATTATCTGTTACTGATATGTAAGCTGAAACTAATGATGACAAATGGAAATATGAGTTTATGTGTTTTATATATTTAATGATGATGCTAGAAGTTATGTTAAATCAATTCAACTCTCAGTAAGCAATAACGTTTACATCTGTGTCACTTTAGATCCTCAAAGTTATTCCCTGAATTTACAGGCAAGATAAATCTGTTTCTGTTTTCATTTGATATTTCTATTGAAGTCCATATACCTACCCTTTTTGAGGTAAATCTAGTAGTGCCTGTCTAAACATATCTATCTGAACTTAAACAAGTGATAAATTAAAGTAAACAAAGAAAAAGCCTTTTGAACTCTGTGGCCTTTCAGTAGAAAAAGATACCTCATTCAATTTCCATGCCCTCATGAACAAAGTTTTACCTTGGAATTTTTACAACTGCAGACGTTTTCATAAAAGTTATATGCCAATATTTACTATTCTAAGAAAAAACAGTCCCTCTAAAGAATTACTAATGTTGGACAGAGAAACAATTTTATCTTTTTATAATCCCTGGATAATACTTTTAATGGATTATCCCTGGATAATCTTTTAATAATCCCTGGATCTTACATATTTATTTAATCCTCTTTTATAGCCAAATGATGTTTGTTCAGTTCTTTTGATCAATTTTATGTTCTTTATTTTAATAGAAAATGTATTTTTAAACTAGTTGAGATTAGAATGTCAAGGTACATATGTTCTGATCATCTATAGACACAATCTATAATAACATGTGCTATACCTCAACGTATTTAAGAGAACTTTAAATGTATCCATCTCATCTGCAGGAGGAAAAAAACCTTGATAGAAGCAAAATCAAGACATTAAATTAGATCAGGGAATATTTTGTAAAATTCTATAAATACAACAACTTTCCATGTGGATCTCTATTGTCATAAGCAACACCAACAAATATGATAGTATATAAAAATCGTCCAATCTATTACTTTTTTAACACATGTGGGAAAACTGCAATTTGTGGGGCAATTGCAGCCCCTCCAGCAACTCAAGATCATCTTGATGTAATTTAGCAACAAAATGATAATTTCTCAGTGGTGTAATTTTCAACTTAGTGAAATAATTCTATGAAGCCAGCACAACCCTCCCTACATTTAAAATCTCTCAAGTCAAGTGAAACTGACCATGAAGAATTTGTTATCCATTCTAAAAGGGCTCAGGCCATCCAATTTGAATGGGAGGAAGCTTAAACTTATAAACTTTTGTAGATAACTAGAACAAAGCATAAGGTATTTTGGTCTTGTATAGCATTGTATCCATATTCTAGAAAAGCTTTTTTTTAAAGGCCCCATGTAAAAATGCTCTCAAATTATGAACTGCATTCCATAGATTCAAATCTGAATATTAGTATATATTTTTCCCCAAACTAAATAGTATGAATCTAAACAACAAAACTAAACCACAGGTCTACATTTTATCTAATTCTCTTCATAAACTTTATCAAATCTGGCAATTCCACAAGACTTAGTAAAAATAAATCGAAATAACTCAGTTCCCACAAAACATTGGCAAGCTATATTCAATGTTCTTCGGGAGAAACCTAACTCTGAAATACAAGCCAATGATGTCTTCATAGCTGTAGCTTTATTCTACAGATTACATCCAGCAAACCACAAGCAGCAGGAAATGTTCATTTTAAATACCATTGGCTCACTTCAGGCTCAAAGCCACTGTCAGCAACATCCTTATTCTATATAGATTTACATTAATAAGCCTAAATAGAAACAGTAACTGCTTTCTTTTAAATCAATCCATAATTTTGCATCTCTCCTGTTCCTAGGATTTTAGTCTTTCTATCTACTTACCTTTATACTTCATGCACTCAAGGGACCTGTACTATTGTTATTGGATCTAATTATAATTTTCCTAAGATCTGCTAAAATCATATTAAAAATATCTGCCAGCACCAAAGATCTATCTACGAAACCAGGATTTCAGAGCACATGAAAGTGGTCACAGAATCCCACAGTATCTTGCCTTACATATAAGCACAGTTTGGTGTTAAGTACAAGAGCTTTAAATTGATAAGCTTCCTACTCTGGTTGATCATTAGAAGACTGGAAGCTTTAATCAGAGTTTCTTATTATATCCAGACCAGAAATTTTAGTGTTAAGAAATCAAAACCATCCACCTTAATTTAAAGGTTTCAATAAATCACAGTTAACTCTTACCTTCTCAGACATCCCCCCTTGTACTAATAACATAAGAGCAAACTTGATGTGAAAAACAGACGCTGATGGAAGGTTAAACATTCCCAGCCTACATTCTTAACTTCAAATGTAGTATCCCTAGCCTTAAAAGAAGTAAGAATAAAAGCTGGCAGAATATGGTACACATTATTTATCACATTTAATTCAGTTTTATATATAAAGGAGAACAACATTAATAAATAATTGGCTAATATAACATAATGTCTTTACATTGTATTAGTTTATGACATGTACTGAAAAGGTAATCTGGAATAAAAGAAAAGTAACAGAGAAATAGAGCACTAGGATCATTGTGATTCCTGCATTTAAGCAGTTATACAAACAAAGAAGAGTGTCAGTACTCCTCAATAATGGATACAATTTAAAAAATAAAGAGAAACTTAATGAAACTTAAGCAGTGTATTTCCCTGCCTTCAGGGGGGAAAATCAGAATTACCCATATTAACTGGTTCTCATGCAAATAACTTTTTAGCATGGGTTTTCTGAGGTCATATTCATATAAATCAGTTTCCCCAACCCTAGTGTTCTCCACAAGTATTAAATTATGGCTCCTGTAGTCCCCATAGCTTTACTGCAGTTTAACAAGGATGAAAGACACGAACTTGGGGAAAACTGATATGCACATTTATATCCATGTAGCTAATATCTGCTAATATCTGATCTAACTCTTTTAGATGTGCAATACAATGGGCATGTGATTTTCTAAAATCCAACTACTAGGACAACAAGCCATTTTCTATAATCCAACTACTAGAACAAGAAGCAATTTTCTGTAAATTCCTTGCAACATAGTTCTAAGCAATTGTAACCCTGCCAACATGTTGAAAACAAGCTAATCTACGCTATATTGTGGAAGTCACTGGAAGATCTATGAGGCTGAGTTTGAACATCAGATACCAGATACAAACTAAAGGAACTAGTCATCCCGCTTTATGCCCTGATTGAGTGCTTCAAAATACACCTAGAAATGTAATGAGCTGGAATAGATGTTCTCATCCTATGGGTGATACAGTTATGATAATTATAGACCTGGAAAGAAGCAGATTGAAGAAGGTTGTTCCAGAAAATTTGATCAGAAAACTTCAAATATCCTAAAGCATAGGTTCAGGCTAAAGGTCCAATTTTTTTACAGTGATGGAACTAATGGAAAATAAGTAAGATCTTCATGTTGTATAATTAAATAATCATTAAAGTATATCAATAAAGTGACAACAAACTTGAGCGTAAAAAGTATATGAACATAAACAGCTACAGATGTGTAATAGGAATAGCTACTATCTTTGTTTACTTAATGAGAGGCACTTTGTGTAGTACTTAGAGCATGAGGCTAGAAACTGGGTTTTAGCCCCACCTGGGGGATTCTGAGCCAGGCATTTTTTTTTCTAGTAAGCTAGCCTTAATAAGCTATCAATGGCAAACAACTTCTGAAAACATTGGCAAGAAAATTGCACAAACTTGTCCAAGTAGTCACTAGGAGACAGCATTAATTCAAAGGCACAAAACAAACAAATGTTTATTTGATATCGCTTGTCCAATGGATTTAACATTAAAATGGATGAGGCGCAAATCAAGAACTTCTGTATGGTTATAATAGTGCAGATGAAATTAACAATTACAAAACCATGTCTTAAATTTAAAATTAGGATGAAGTGCTTTCCTTATTTTGGTGGTTATAGAACTTCGAACACTGAAAAAGAAAATGGCAAAGAAAAATTAAATAATAATTGGAGTAACATGGAAGTATTATGAAAAACAACAGAGATGGAACAATAACAGTGGGAAGTAAATTTTACTGCAAAGAGCAGATGAAATACAGGTGAAGAGGAAAAAAATACTCACCAAACCACCACAAGTGCTAAAGGAAGCAAAGGATCCAGGATAATGCAGCACAGACCCACTATAGTAACAGGCTCTCTCTGTTTGTGTGTGGATCAAATTTGGGGTACTCTTTTCATTCAATAGTCGTTCCTCCACTGCAAAACCTGGTGCTAAGAAGCGACTGTCCCTCTTAAGCAGCAGATAGAGCTCCTGAGCAAAAGCTGGTATTCTCAGCAACATCTCATCCTCATCTTCTGAAGGAGATACATATAGATAAGATGGTTGCTGAGAAGTACCATTAGATCCCTGAGGAAGTGGAGACCAGTGATAGAAATCCTGAGATTCATATTCATCCTCTGAAGTTTCCCGAACTGGCAGTTGCTGGTGCTGGTGGTCAGATGAGGAAGAAACTGAGCGGATCTCACGAGAACTGCCCACTCCCTGAGTGGATGCAGAGGTAGCATTGATATTGCTGCTGCTATTCCCACAGTTACCATCAAGACTGCAGCTGCCTCCTGCACCACTCCCTCCAGTGGATTCCTGTTGGCTTCTACTCCACAGGGCTGGGTAAACAATCTCCCACTCTTCAAAATCTCCCAGAGGTTGTAGACCTGCAAAAATTCACATAGACTGAAATTTACACACTCTGAATTGCCCCCAACTCTAAAAGTTGCCATAAATGGACGCCAGATTTAGGACTCATCAGCATAATTTTAATACATCCAAATGACTTAACAGCATTGATCCATACTGCTATTACCAATAGAAAATCAGTTTTCCTTTGTACTCATTGTAAGAAAAAATAATGTGTTTGGGGAGCCTCTTTATATTAGTTGGCTGAAAATGCTATTTTTACATATATGTTGCATTTATATTTTAGTTTTTGTTAGCTGCCCAGAGTAGAATTGGTGAGATGAGTGACTATGTATGTATGTATGTATGTATGTAAGGTGTGCACAGATATCTACAAAATATCTGCTGAAGACTAATGTGCCTTATTTTTTCTCTCTTTGTATGTACATATGCATGTACATACATATACACACATACAGTCAATATTGTGTTAAAGATTTATTTATTTATTTATTTATTTATTTATTTCTACAATGTATCCCTGTTTCAATATAAAAGGATATTTTTTGAAATTTGTAAATAAAGCTTGAAGAGTATCCACAGCTTCTAATTGAATTAAAAGATAGTCATCTCATTTTATCCATTTGAACAATTGTAGTCAAATAATGTGGTAAGGAACAGTAGTAGCCTTTCCCAATGTGATGTCCCCTAAACTATGTTGCTGGCTGAGATTTACAGACCACCATCCATACTAGACTGGGAAAGGCTGTTAGAAGTCCCAACTAAGTAGTCAGTAAAAATCTCTCCAGTATCATCAGAAGTAGCCTCTCTTTCAATCTAAGCATCTCCAGCATAAGGATAGTTGTTATAGGTTTAAGTGGCTGAATACCCAGGAGTTTTTCCTACAATATCAAGTAGGAACAAATTTGCACAAATTTGTAATTAAAAGGCAGAGACTACAAAAATATTTGCCAAGCATCTATGTGAGCTTTAGGGCTAATAAAAAGTTAAGATGCCACCTGATGGCAGAGAAAGGAGTAAGAGGGAAGGGGAAATTGATTTACTCAAACTTTTATTTGTTTTGCCAAAATAAGCATCCTACATAGATTAGGATTACGGGTAAAAAAATGTGTAAAAAACCTATAATCTTTTGTTGTATATCCCATTCCTAAATTAAAGTATTTCACTGTTTAGCCAATAAGAATTCAGTAAGAATACAAATGACAGTAGAAATTCTGAAGCATCATGTGTGTAAATATAGTTATAAATTTATAATTCAAAACATTAATTTGTTGTACATTCCATACAAATATATTTAGTGAATTGAAACTTCTGTAAATTGTGGATTTGTGCACAAAAAGAAAATTGTTCTATGTGGAAATCTTTTGAGGTTTAATATTTGAAGTGCTTAAGAAATAAAAAAAAATCTGAAATAATCTGATGAAAATGTTAGCACACTGCATGCAGATATAAGGTAAAAAAAATTATTCTCTTGCTGGTATTGGAACAGTCCTCAAGAAATAATACAGTTTATTAACATTTGACTTAGTTATTCTATATTTTAAATCAGATAATATTGCCTCAAAAGAATATAAGATCTGTTTCTGCAGCAAAGGCAAATAAGACTTAGTTTTGCTTCTAAGGCAAATAAGATTGGCAAACAGAAAGAAATTAATCCATCAATATATCAAAGTACAGATCCTATATATTTTGAATGTTACAGGCTTTTGGGGTGTATTTAATCTTTAATGGGCAATTTTTGCCACTTTTAGTTATTTATCAAATAAATAAATAATTTGGGGTATATGAGAACTAAAACTTCATAAACATTCTCATGCAGATGTGAATCAAGTAGCTCATCCTAATGGAATAAGAAGATACTCCACCTGATTACACTCTGGAGAAACATATCCTTGTAAGCATGTCCTGCCAAGTTACTGCTGAATGTTGTTTGATCCTAGAGAATACTTTGGCAATCACTTGAAGAAAAAAAGTTAAATCTAAGTTTACTGTTCAATATCAGAGCAGCATTCTCAAGCTGCAAGCAAATTATTTCTGAGCGTGTGCAGGGTGTCTTATAAATTATATCCTTCCCTAGCAGTGTGGAAGTATTTGATAGATGGATAGATTCATACCGTTCAATAACAGTGCACCAAAATGTATATTTAAAATCTTCTACTCCTAGAAACTACCAATAATGATACATCTCCGCGAGACCTCTTTGTGTCACTGTGGTTCCTTATTACCTTGGCCATCATCCGGGGCCAGAAATCTCCGAAGAAAAGAAAGTGGTTCCGATTATTGAGCAAACATGAAGTACTGGGACTCACCTGAAGTGATCCGATCTGACAGGAAGCACAGCTGATAAAAGATGCAGCAAAGGTGGCTCAGCCGTCTTTCCCTTTTCGCCTCCATCCAAGCCGCGGAGGTGGGCAGGGGGAGCGACCAAAGTACCCCCTTTTCTCTTCCGGCGCTTTTCTTTGAGGAACCTTGCAAAAACCGAGGAAAAAGCTGCTCGCGCAAGACGCCGAGCCTGCAAAGACTCCTTCCTTCAGTTTGTGGGAGGAGAGCAGAGAAAATAGCGGGCTCGGCAAGCCTCTTAGCAGCAGCAGGAGCAGGAGCAACAGCAAGAGTAGCTCAGCAGTGGCACCAACCCCGAGCCTCTCTGCTCCGGTTCCCGAGCAGAGTGAAAGCTGAAGCCCCGACAAGGGAAGCCACCTCAGGGGGCCGAGTCAGGCGGCAGCCATGCCAGCAGAGGTCAACAGAAGAGGGCAGACTGGCTGAAGGAAACCCAAAGAACCGTGCGAGAAGGAGAAGGCACAACTTGCTTTGGTGGAGAAGCCGGCCGCGGAGCGGACAGGCAGAGAGAAGGAGGGAGGGAGCGAAGGAGGGAGGGAGGGACGGCCACGCGGAGCAGTGGCGGCAGCAGCAGCAGCAACAGCGGAGAGGTGGTGGCACCCCGCACGCGCACAAACACACACATACACACACCCAATCCCGGCAGTGGACGGTGGGCTAAAGGCGAGGAGCTCTCCCTGGGTGGGAAGTGGGCGGAGGAGGACTCAAAAGAGAACNGTTGTTGTTGTTGTTGTTGTTGTTGTTATTATTATTAACACATACTTGGATAATTGTGTTAGAAAACTATATGTAGAATTTTGTGTGAGTAAATTGTATATAAAATGGCTAAAATGATATATTCATCTTTTTATTTCCTTTAAAAGCACTTTCTATATGTGTCTTTTCACAATGCATATATTTTTCTTTTGGGGTTTGGCTTTTTGTTTTCCATTATTGATTGTTATCCTGAAAGAAAAAAAATGAATATATTTAAAAAGTACTGGAGAATGTGAGTTCTAGACCTGCCCTGAGCATCTTGACCCAGTCACTCTCTCTTAGCTGGAGGAAGATGGCAATGACAAATCACTTTTGAAAAACCTTGCCAAGAAAACTTCAAGGACTCATCCACGCAGTTGCCAGGAGTCAACACTGACTTGGAAGCAGGGTCCCCCTCTCCAGTGTCACAAACAATGTGAAAGACTAATCAGGTGTAGGAATTATTTTATTTATATAGCAATAGCTGTGCTGCCTTTCCAATGGGTATGCACCAGCTGAGGTAACTTACAGCATTTCAGGCTATTTAAATTTAAAAGACAATGTATATCCCATAGATAAAGCCAAAAGCAAGATGAGTTACAGGCTTCATCTTAGAAATGTACTAGTCTCACCTATACCTCATGTCTAAATTCATGAGAATAGATCACATATGGTTTCCCATATCTCTCAAAACTATCGTTTCTTTAAACCATGTTTTGTGGAACAAGCTATTTTGGTCTGACTCATACACATACACCATGCTTTGCAATTCATGGTGATTGAATTCACATACCAGATATCATATTATAATCTGGCATGACATGTGAATCCAGGCATGATGAACAATAACAATTTCCTAGGGACCAATCCACGGTTCTGAATAGTGGCAATATAGTGCCAGAGTTTGGAAGATTGTTTTTAAAAACCACAGATAATTTTATAATTTTCTCAACTTGGTCAGTAATTATTCTATCTAATGGTCTATAAAAGGCTAGACTTTACATTTTAAGTTACTATTTAAGTTAATATTTACATCACACATCAAAATTTATGAAAAAATAACAGAAGAAATTTTGTCTGCTTGAATTTTGCTTGCTACTTTAGGAAAGCATATCATATGTCTTCTCAAATTAGAAACAGAAGCACTTCTAGTTTCTAGAAAACCTTGAAAACAAATACGCCATGTAAAATTCAAGTGAGATTTTTTAAGGAAGTTCATCTTGCATAAATAGAGCACATCCATTTTTGAAAGTAAAGAAAAATCATTTCATTCAGAAAAAAAATCTCAATTTGAATTGTTAATATTCATTATCACTTAACTCATTAAAGGCTCTAATGCCACACTTCTTCTGTACTAACAAAGAGCTTATCCAAAATGTATCTTACAATTGTGCTTCAAAGTGTTTTATTTAGTGAAGTTTGCTAAATAATAACTAAATTAAGAAATAGTAAAGTTGCTGTCAAAACTGTTATAAGTTTAATGTTTCATATACAAATCTTAGATAGTCGGGCATATGTAAATATGCAGTGTTAAAAAGCATTGAGACCTTATTTACAAGCCTTCAAGGCTTATGCAGTAGAGTTTAAATAACACAGTGGGGTATTCTCTCTGTAAATAACACATAATGAAAGTCATACTGTGAAGTTAATCTAGGACATTGCGGGTGGCAAATGCCCATTTTAAAAAAAGCCATATATCTAAAAGTGTATCATTTTTACAATAGGTCTGTAGAACTTAGATGCAGTGTATCCTTTTTGTTTTATAAAACCTTCAGGTTCCAATTGTATATCCAAATATCTGTGAGTGATGGATTTTTGACTGTTCATACCACCAGCCAAGCTAGTCATATTAAAAACCTTAAAGCTCATCCTTAGCTAAACTTGGCTAGACTTTTGGACTATTCTTCTTGCAGGTCTTTAATATATTTCTGCATATTTTAGCTAATTGCAGCAAATGTCTAGTTTGCAAAATACTTATTTAAGGTTTGGATGGGAGTATAAACATCAACATCTACCTTCCATCATGGCTTTCCTTAATTGAGGCTTTCCATGTACTGCTTTTTAAAAAGATAAATATAGACTAGATTACCAGGCTTAATTATATCTATGGTGCATTTCTTATAGTAGAAGAGTACTAATGAGTTGGAGCAGATTTTAGCCAGTTGCAACCATAGGCCATTTTTATCAAAAGCACAGTCACATTGTTATAGACAAATAAAACAGGATGTGTCCTAGCAAGTCTGCACCCCATGAACTAATAGACCAATACTGTACAGTGCACTGATCGCATAGTCAGTAATCAAGTGTTTGAAGAAATATAAAGCTAAATATGAAATGTTATATTAAGGATGTCAAATTCAAAGCCCTTGGTCCATATCTGGCCCATGGGGTGCTTGGATCTAGCCCACAGGGCCACCCTGGAGATAGCAAAGGACCAGCCCGTGGTGCCTCTGTCAGCAAAAACGGAGCTTGGGAGGGCCGCATGGTGGCTCTTGCAAACTCCATTTTTGCTGGAAGTGGGTTGCAGGAGACTGTTGTAGAAGAAATTGCAGCTTGGAAGCCCATTTTCTCTAGCAAAGCACTCCCATGAGAGACAGGGGGTATAGCCAGGTGGGCTGGCCATGCCCCCCCCCCTGGCTACACCCCTACCACCCTACAAACCCCCACGAGGTCAAACACAACCCTGATGCGGCCCTCAATGAAATTGTGTTTGACACCCCTGTTTTATGTAGATGCTGAAGAAGCAAGGATGGTTTGCAAAGATGGGAAGAGATGAAGAATAGGAATACACAGTTTTCAGAAAAAGTGTCTCAAGTCTGAGATAAGTGCATTCATTGTACCTTTTGGTGATTTTTTTTAAGGAAGTGACTTCTTTCAAGTGCTGCCAACATATAGTAAACATGTCCATTATAGATTCAAAACACTTTCCCTCACATCCATATATCAGCCACATCAATATAAAAGATAGCAAGAAAACATTGAATGTTACAAAGAGGACAGTTTGCTGCAACATTTAATGAGACAAAGTGATTGCCTGTTAGCAGACTTCTCTGCAAGATTCTCTAGCATTAACCTGAAATAATTTAATGTCTATCAAAAATTTAAAATAAATAAATGTTTTTAAACACACTCTTAAGGAAGAGGCAAGTCTATCTTAATTTGCTCCAAGAGACATTATTACTTTATTTAAAGTAAATGGTAATAGCCATTTTATCTCTGACTGTACATTAGAAGGTTCTTGCTTCTATCTTTAAATTCATGCCTTCTAGCTATACTGGGAAAACACAGGAGATTGACAATGTTTCATTTAATTACAGGGTCCTAAGAGAGAGAAGGTATTCTATAATTACTGAGATCCAAAACTAGGAAATGTAAGTTGAAAGCCTGCTGACAGGCATTTAGTGCTCTAGATAAATTAGTTAATGTTAGCAAAGAGCTTTCGAAGATTACATTTTACATGCTAAGTACTATTATTGTCATATAAAATTCAGAAGGTTGTCCTGAAGGAAAATCTACTCGATTAGTTATCTCAAAGTACTTCTGTAAAAAGCCCCCCCCCGTAAAATATAACATATTTTATATCATTTGATACAATTTATTTAAATTAATAAATAAAACATGAACATTGAACAAGTAGAGCAGGACTTCAATAACTATACTGAACAAACACAGGTTACCCAGAATAATAAAAATATTTTGTATTAACAGCTTAATTTTTTTTAAAGAATGAAATAGGGTGTAAAACAGGGGTGTCAAACTGGCGGCCTATAGGCCAGATGCAACTTCCACAGGCCATGACCACCCTAGTTCCACGAAGGAAAAAAATATTGCAATTTGTCACATGATCGCAATGTGACACAGCGAGTTTGACATCCATGATGTAAAAAGTTTTACTTCAAGCTTTGCTCATGAACGTTATAGCTAGTGTTTACATTGCCATTTTTATAACTTTATTTCGTTTTTTAATCTACTTAAGTTTTAATATTTTCATTATGTTGCCTTTTCTGGTGAGCTCTAGAAAATACTAAAATAAATGAAATAAATAAAGAGTTGGTGTTTATCTGCTCACTCCCTTTCTCCAATTGCTGTTTTTAGAAATCGAATTTGAGCATTCCATTGTATTGCCCCGTTGACTGTTTTGACATTGATTGTTATGGAATATGGCCTTTGTTGTGATCTGGTTTGATCCAATCCTTACATGAAATCCAGTACAATTGCCAAGTTGGGCACTTGATCCTTCTTCGGTTTGTTCCTTTCCCTTGCATTTAGAGGAAAGAGAGGAAAAGGAGAGGAAAAACAGAAGACAAGATTTCCCTTCATTTTTGTTTTAAAATAAAAAGAGAGTTATAGAAATGAACTAAGTCTCATAACAGTGGTCCAATCTGAATAACCAATTTGCCTAGGTCAGTGATGGTGAAAGTGTGCGCCCCACCCAAACTGCAAGGTGTGGGTGCATGCGTTCATGTGCCCTGTGCATGCGCGGCAGAGACCCAAAGACCATCTGGCTGGTGGCAGGTATGCATGCATGCACGGCAGAGACCCAGAACAGAGCTAGACCACAGAGAGGGCTATGCGTGCCACCTCTAGCACATGTGCCATAGGATCGCCACCACTGGCC